AAGCATCCAGGCGATTCCCAGGATCGCCCCATAACAGAACTAGAAACACAAACCTGTCTGTAAGTAAACACAGATAAGATTTACCTCCTAAAAATATAAATCATGTAACGCTTACATCATGCTTTGACCATTTTAATTCGTATTTCGCACAAAGCAGACTTTTACTTTGCCGCCGTGTCTCACTTCCTGTCTAACTTATAACATTCCTGTAAAATCCCTGCTTAGGTTGACCAACATAGACCTCTGGTCTGATCGCCAGCAGCAACTTCAACCTGTTAGAATCGCTAAAGCTTCTCATACAAATTCGTTTTTGTTACAAATACAGATGTAGTGAATGCTGCAATTTTTCTGGCTTCATTTCAGCTATGGCTTTATTCTTGACACTCTGCATTCTGCATGCCACACTTTTCAGATTGTTCTAAAAATATGCTTAAAAGTGTTGAAGTTTTAGGTTGTAACAGCAAAGAAAGTCATAAGAAGCTATAAATAAAACCAGATTTCAGACGATCGTTCCACTCTCACCCTCCATGTCGGCGTGCAGCCAGAAGATGCAAGGGTCCGGGTACCTGAGGGGCCCCCCCAGCCCGTCACCTCCCTGCCTCTGCTCCTCCAGCCAGTGGCTGTGAGGGACACCCGTGTCCTTGTGAATTTGCAGGCTTCTGTAGATAAAGCAGGAAATCAGGCTGTGAGATTCTTTTCTCTTCTATATAAAGTCTCTCTAAGCAAAGTGAGATTAGCAGAGTTAACCGCCCATTCATCCATTAAATGAAAACCTCCAGCTCCCTTTTTGAGTTACAAATTAATCATGCGGTTCAAGTTGTGTGAATCCTGATGACCGCCATAGTTGAAATGCACCCAAGGACACATGGAGAAATAAATAAGAGCCAAAGAAGAAACAGATTGAGATGCTAAGCACATCTTTTTGTAGTCATGCCCGGCTGGACTCTGAGGTTAGGAGGAAAAGATGATGCGTGTCAGCTCCAGGCTGAATAAAGGACAGGGCAACCTAACCTGCTCACATAAAACACCACTGCTCCTGCTGCTACCCATCAAGCTGTGCTAGTGAGAGAAAGCTGGTGTATAGCTGACAGGCCCGGGGGGGGCGGTGGGGGGGGACCATCTCCTCAGGGCATCTCTAGACGGAGGAACAAATGATATAATCTGAGCTTTAATCATGAGATCTGAAATAGAAAATAGCAAACTGGTGTAAAGCCGCTTCAGGTGCGTTTCGTCAAGGTTTTACCTTCTGCATGAAAACAGGAGGTGTTTTTCTGGGTTATTATTCAAACTAAAAGGCAGCTGTCAGATTAGATTTTTTTTCACAAGTGCATACTGTGTGCATTGTTCAGATAAAACCAGATTTTTACCAAAGAAAAATACACTTTACCTTTTCATCTACAGCAGGGGTAATCAATTAAAAATCAGTGGGGTCCGAATAAAGAAAATCAACAACCGGTAAAGGTCCAGAGACATTTTTATTATAATCTGATACTTTAAACAGAATTTAAAACTGTTCAAGTTATACATTAAATTTTTAAATAAAATTTTTTTTTTCCATTTTAAACTCTAAAGTATTGTTTGAAGTAAAGAACAACAATTGTTCAGTTTGGTATATAGACAATTTCCTGACTCACTATTTTTATAAAACACCTGAACTGACCGTTTTGTTTTCTTCTTTGTTTTCTGTCTTAATGAGAGCAGTGGGCTTTATGCTGCCCTGTAAGGCTTTAAACCCTGAGTTTAAATGGAGACAAAGCCATTCTCAAGCACATATCAAGGAGCTCATTTTGGATCCATGTTTATTTTTGATTCTGTTGATGGTGGAGAATCCTGCTCCACAGCAGCAGGTTGAGCCAAACATCCTCTAAATGTGCAGGGTCATCTTTGAGCACACCATTTTACTTTTCTTTCACCAGTTCACCGCAGTTCTTCCAGCAGTCCACACTTTGTCTGCTATCTTTTCTCATCATCTTCTCCTTCTTTCCCATCGCCCGGCGTTCCACAGGTTTGCCTGCTGTGTCTAAAAGTAGCAGCAGCAGCAACCCTGACTGACAGCAGCTCATTGGCTAATTTGGATCATGAGCCTGGTCCCGGACGCTCTGGAGGGCTTTACCATACAAACAGGAGACGTGGCGCAATTGACGTCTAGACACTGTCATCGGACATTAGGGATAGAACAATTTTTGAAAACTGTCCGAACTGTTCGGTTCGTGTGTGTTTTGTTCGGTTCATGCGCTGCTCCTTTTTCTCATAGACGAAGCGTTTACACTCCAGAGCAGAAGGTGGCGGTACTGCGACCAAAGCCAACCACCAGTAGTAAACAAGAAGAAACGAAGCAGCGTAGCC